TATTACTTGTAACGTGTTCTATACTTGCAAAATTGTTAGGATGGGCTGGTTCTAAATTCTATGCATATTGCAGTTTGGGGAGGTTCAGAAAGTGTGACAGGGTGCTTGTGTTCGATATCACTTTACTTAGGGTTAGCTAGGAACGCTTGTTGAGTACCATTATTGGTTGATACTTACTCCCTTGCTTTCCACACTTGTGTAGTTTACGAGTCTGGATCATCTTGATCATCCTCTCGCATCTTCATTCGAGACTTGCCTTTGGAGTTCGTGACCATCTCAACAATCATTACATACTCTTGATTATGTTTTTCTATTATCTCAATATAGTAGACTTGTACTTCTTTTGAATCTGTTGTGCTATTTAGAGGTTTTTACACGTGACACTAGGTTTTGGGGAAAAGTTATGTTATATTAAGAGTTTTGCATTATTATGTTATGTTTAGTTCTTGATTTCTTTCTTACTTCTGCAATTGCCATTGCCAAGGATTGTTTAAGCCACTACTAGAAAACTGTAAATTACCTGCGAATTTTTCTTGAGAATTATTTCAGCAGAATTTTTTCCACGAATTTTCAAGCGGAAAAATGAAATTCCTAAATTATAGACTTTCTTACCTGCGAAAAATAGTTTTCCAGAAAAATTGATGGGTAAATTTGGCACCATTTTGCAAAATTATTACCTGGGGAATTATTTGCGGCAAATAATTTGTAAGTATCATTTTCATAGGTAAATTCGCAAGTAATGAAAAAAGGATTTTTTTTTATCTTCTAGCAAGAAAATTCCTAGATAAATTTATTTGCAAATAATTACTTGGAAATTTATCTAGAAATATTTTTTATGTGGTATTACCTGGGGATTCATGTTCTTTGAATTTTGTTGGGGCTTACTTAGGAATTTTCTTACTTGAAGAATTACTTGGGGATTTTATTGTTGTGAATTTGATTTGTGATTTTTGAGTGATTTACTTGGAAATATGCAAACTTGAATATTTTTTCATATAATTTAATTTGAATTTTTTTTATTGAAATCTAAGGATTTTTAAAAAAAAATTAGGAGTCCTCGGGGAATATTTTCTTAAAAATATATTTACCAAAATTAAAAAATATAATATATAAAAAAGGACAAATGATCACTAGAATGAAATTTATTAAATAATTACTCTATTTTCAGGTTTAATAAATTATTAAGCAATAATATCAATTCAATAAGGTGTTGGAACATTATCATATATTTTAGGATGAATATTTTTAACTTATATATCATTATTATTTAATCTCACTAAAAATCAATGTTATCATTTTTTATTTTTTTATTTGTAAGAAACAAAGAATTAAAATTATATGGCTAGTTATTTATCAAATAGAAAAATAATTATCATAAATATTTATCAATCTAATACGGTGTTGGAACATTACCATAAATTTTAGGATGAATATTTTTATATAATTAATATATTATATCACTAAAAATTAATGATACCATTTTTTTATTTTGTTTTTTTATTTAAAAGATACAAAGAATTAAAATTATATGGCTAGTTGTTTATCCAACAGAAAAGTAGCTATCATAAATATTTGTCAAACTAATACGGTGTTGGAACATTACCATAAATTTTAGGATAAATATTTTTAACTTATATATAATTAATATACTATTTTTTATTTGAAAGATAGAAAGGATTAAAATTATATGGCTAGTCATTTATCCAACAGAAAAATAACTATCATAAAAGTTTAATTACCCCTTGTTGATAGAAATATGAAAAGAAAAATAAATATTTTTTACTTGTATATCCAATTGGTATATTATATGTTTACTAGCACTAAAAATATATAATTTCTCTATAGTAAGTTATTGAATGATATTTATTTCCAAATATAAAATTAAGTATATTAAAATATAATAATTTTTAAAAGATAAATTAAAATTATAAATACCAAATTACCTAATAAGATATACTATCAATTATTGATTTATAACTTCCTTGCACATTAAATTTATAAGTATATTTATATTTTCAATTATTTATTTATAAAATTTTGTCTACATTTAATATGCTTCGTTATCGATATTATCTCATAGAAAGTGTAAGCATAAATTTTTTATGATATGTTGGGTGATAGTGATTTATTTTAATATATAAATAGTTGTCATGCTTTATTTTTGAAGAGTTAAATCACATGAACTTTACTCAACATTTTAAGATATATTTCATTCGCATATTAATATGAGAGGACTTTATAGTACTTTTTGTGTGATGAATATCTAAATTGTATTTTTAATAATCAATTAATTTAATTATATTTAGCTTTAAAAATTAATCAAATTGATGAAAAACACCAAAATTTAGTGTAATGCTAGTGGTACCTTTTACCACATCGATGGAAGACACATGATCTTTAGCATTTATAATGCTATTAGTTAGAGCATTGGTAGAATAGAGTAATTACATATAGTTTGGGCATTTGGTAGTGAGATAGGATTAAGTTAGTGCAATTTTGGGCATTAGGTTGTGAGATAGGATTAAGTGAGTGCAATTACGTAGACTGGACTAGGATTAAGTAGGTGTCTATGTGTATGGAGGTGTCCTATGTGGATGGAGTTCAAGAACAAAATAATTAATTAGGAGATATTAATTAATATTGTCTAGAAAAAATCTTTTTTTGTTAATTTTTACAAAAAGATTTTGGTATATATTTTGCAAGAAAATTTCCACGTAGACTGGACTAGGATTAAGTAGGTGTCTATGTGTATGGAGGTGTCCTATGTGGATGGAGTTCAAGAACAAAATAATTAATTAGGAGATATTAATTAATATTGTCTAGAAAAAATCTTTTTTTGTTAATTTTTACAAAAAGATTTTGGTATATATTTTGCAAGAAAATTTCCACGTAGACTGGACTAGGATTAAGTAGGTGTCTATGTGTATGGAGGTGTCCTATGTGGATGGAGTTCAAGAACAAAATAATTAATTAGGAGATATTAATTAATATTGTCTAGAAAAAATCTTTTTTTGTTAATTTTTACAAAAAGATTTTGGTATATATTTTGCAAGAAAATTTCCACGTAGACTGGACTAGGATTAAGTAGGTGTCTATGTGTATGGAGGTGTCCTATGTGGATGGAGTTCAAGAACAAAATAATTAATTAGGAGATATTAATTAATATTGTCTAGAAAAAATCTTTTTTTGTTAATTTTTACAAAAAGATTTTGGTATATATTTTGCAAGAAAATTTCCACGTAGACTGGACTAGGATTAAGTAGGTGTCTATGTGTATGGAGGTGTCCTATGTGGATGGAGTTCAAGAACAAAATAATTAATTAGGAGATATTAATTAATATTGTCTAGAAAAAATCTTTTTTTGTTAATTTTTACAAAAAGATTTTGGTATATATTTTGCAAGAAAATTTCCAAGTAATTTACCTGCGAAATATAAATCCCTAGGTCAATTGTTTGGGGATTTTTAAATTCGCAGGAAATAATTACCTACGAAAGTTTTACCATCGAATTTTTTTGATAGGAAAATCCGCAGGAAACTTAATTTTTTGTGAATTTTCGTATGCAGTCCCTAGGAAAATCCCCATGTAATCCACATTTTTCTTGTAGTGAGCTGACCTGTATTGGTGGGATAAGACAGGTGTCACCACACCTAACTTTTGGATCGTGACAAGGATGAATTCAAACCCTACCCTAGGGGCACAAATACCTTCTCTAAGGCTTAGGAATTGAACTACAAAAGTAGAAAATGCTCACCTTTAAGAAGATTCTTGATGAAAAAATGTTAAAATCTGCCCTAGGTTAACTTTCTACTCCCACCATGATCAATCTAAAAGAATCAAATGAGTGTTAAATTGATGGAAGAACTTACCTTGAAGGAGAAAATTAATGAAAAACTGAAGAAATCGCCCCTAGCCTGACCTTGAACGAGTTTTGGGAGTAAAATATATAAGAGAATAACACAATAACCAATGTAGGTTATAACTAAATTAAATATACCCATTTATAATAAAATAAAAAAGGAAATACAGCATAGATGAGGAGAATATCTATTTTTTTTATACATATTGCATAACCTACCTCTAAAGATTGGGCAATAAATTAATAATGTAAAGTCAATTTGGTTAGAGCTGCACATTAACATTTGTAAGGACCTTCATGCTTTTAATATTGCATAATAATATAGATATAAATAGATAGATTATTTATATTTATCACATTTTAGGAACTTTTTTGGTAAATTTTATTAAACTAGAATATGATTTTTAATATTATTAATACAAATTTTAATTTTCTTTTAATATTGATAAAGGATTCACCTGTCATCTACATACTTAAAAGCTCCGACAAATAACACAATCATAATCTTTTGAACCTTAATGAAATATGCCACACCTTTTCGAACCTTTCAAGATTTCCCTATTATCGCTATTCATAGGTCCCAATCGAAAGTATGTGTGAAGTTTGAGACTATTCAATAAAGCACAAATAGTACTACACATTGAAATTTCTTGACTTTCTTTTTTCCCTTTGGCAATTTTCAAAGTGGCTATAGCGTGGAAAAATCTACTACACATGTTATGTATTTCCACAAAAAAAGGCGGAATTTATTTGAACCTCTTGAGCTTTTTAATCCACTTGCACTTGTCTACACATTAAACTTTTTGATTTTATTTAGAGATGTCTACTATTGACTTTGCACATTTTTTAATGAACTATAAATAAAAGAGTAATTTTACTAATCACTCTTTGAATATAATAAATACAATATTTTAAAAAATGTGATAGAGAAATTACTATAATTAATTATAAGAATAAATTAGAAAATTAAGTATAAAATTACTTATTAATTTTACAAAGTAGACAAATATTATTGAACATTCCAAAATAGTACCGTTGACAGCTATTGTTGAAGAGATGGAGTAATGAGTAGCACGTATTGTTGAAGAGATGGAGTAATGAGTAGCAGGTATTGTTGGACATTCTAAAACATATTTTTCAGCTACCTTCAGATGTATGTGACCTAATGCCAATGGCTGGGCATTTTGGAGCATGAAACACAACGACGAGTTGGAATACCAGCGATCCATTAAGTCCATCTTTTGTGAGTTAATTTGTCTGTTGTGAATATTTTCCAATTTTTGTTTAGCACTAATCTTTTTATCTTTTTGATACAGCTTATTCTGTTGCTTCCATGTTTCCAACTGAGAAATGGAGGATCCAATCTGTTATGGAGAAAATGTCGACTCCAAATATTTCTCTGTTTCAATTCTGGGCACCCATCAAGGTCTATGGATCTACTTTCCTGTCCACTGCGGATCAAACATTTGCTTTCTATATATAACGAAATTGATAAGAGTCTCTCTTCATACAGGAAGCTCTGTCTAGATACTTTGATTCCCGTGGACTACAGCTACAAGGAAATTCCATTTGGTCCCCCTGGACGAGTTTTCTCAAGATGCTTGCCAGAATATAACCCCGACGTCCGAAACTACTCCTCTGCAGAGTTTCCACTGCTTCCAACTGCTATTCCCTTGGGAATTCATTCTTTTTATGCATTTCCAATTTCCAACTTCCATGATCACCAGTGCCTTGGTGTATTTGAGATTGTATCTACACAGCCATCTCTCCATCTTCCCAACCTTATTCAGGTATTTGCTCAACGACACTTTTGTTTATATTCCGTTTGAACAATTCCATAATCCTTGTTTAATCTTCCATTCATAGGGCTTGAATTTCGAATCAGTTGGGTTGTACATTCCTAACTCATTGGACATACTTTTGGACCTTCAAATGTAAGGAATTGCTGCCTTTTTTTTTATTTTGGCGAAACTAAACAAAATATATGGAAGTAAAAAAAAAAAAAGAGATCAGACAACTAATTTCATAGCTTATCATTTTAATAGCTGCAGGATGGTGAAAGACTTAACTATATAGAGGGCGGGTTATATGAGATCCTTGAAAGACATAGTTTACCCTTTGCTCAAATTTGGACTCCTTCTTCTCGATATGGCTCTTTGAAAGTCTTGTATAGTGCTGCTGCCTCCATATATGAACCTCCGAAACCAATGTATCATGAGTTTGAATATTCTTCTGAGGTCTGTCTTATTGAGAGTCGCAAGGCATTGGTTGGGAGGGCATTTGCATCACAAGGTTCATGCTTTTGCAAAGATGTTACTCTATTAAGCATCGAAGAGTACCCTTTGGTGCCTGGTGCACAAAAAGCTAGATTCACTCAGAGTTTTGCTATTTGTTTGCAAAGTAAATGCGCCAACAAATTTATTTGCGTAGTTGAGTACTTTCTGCCACCCAACGAAATGGTTGTAAGAGATACAAAGATTTTCTTAAACATGCTTCTATCCACAATGAAAGAACAATATCTAGGTTTCATAGTTGCTCCTGGAAATGAACTAGGGCAGAGGATGCTCGTTGAAGTTCTTAAAGATTCCCCGAGTGATGAACTTGATTCCTTTGAAATTGGCCAAACTCTGCTGAGTGTTCAATCACTTCAGGATGGAGGAGAAACAACAGAAGTTGGCCAACGTCTGTCGAGTGTTCAAAGGATTGAAAAAGATTATGGAATTACTCGCAAGATTCTGGAGGAGCATTATGGCATGACTCTTCAAGATGCTGCCAAAAATCTACGTAGTAAGTTCACTAACTTTAGCGCATTTGAGGTTCGTAGTTCTTTTTGTATTATTATATATATGTGCTCATATGCCTTCAACCGAAATGATTTATGCATAGGTTCACTGATATCCCTTTGGACTTCATTTATTGCAGTTAGTCGAGCAACACTGAAACGGATATGTAGAGAAAATGAAATTGCTAGATGCCAAATCACAAGACTAGAAAGGTTAATGTCCATGTTAGCCAAGGCGTATCTTTTCAAGATGCTGAACCATATGTGGGCGATCAATAATGTCCTGCTCTTTCCCAAGAAAAAGGCACCGAATATTTAAGTAACAAAAAATCTCCTGCAACAGGAAAACCTTGTGATAGTGTGATGACTTTAAAGGTTACATAAAGAGGTGATATCATTAAGTTTCAACTCTCCCTTCCATCAACGAGGGTAAAATTGGAGGGGGAAGTGGAAAAGAGGTTTAAGATATCACTTCAAAGTTTTTCAATCAAGTATCAAGATGAAGATGATGATTGGATTTTGATAAGTACTGATTCAGATTTGAGGGATGGGATGCATTCACTAAGATTGTTGGGAAGGACTACTATGAGATTACTGGTTACCCCAGGAGCTGACACATGAAAGATTTTTCGTAAGTTTTGTTATGGTATCTTTAGTGCAGAAATGTCATCTTTTGGTGACATGGTGTTTATCTCTTCCCTGTTGTGTTGTTACATGTCTTTGTGCTCAGTGATTAAATGGGCATTAGTCAAATTACGAAAGATGCCTATATATAGAAGAGGAAAATAATATGAGTTGTCATTTTCTTTTCATTAGCTATTTTGTATTTTCTGTTTGTTGTTTGATTACATGAACAACCTGTTTGTAAGTTGCTTTGATGATCAATACAAAGCTTAATTTGTTACATTATTGTCCTACTCCATGCCTATCTCATTGAAACAAACAAAGCTGGAGAAGATCATTCCTCCATTGATGAACATGGAAAGCTGAGATTCGAGATGAGAGAAAGAGGAGCAACCTGTGTGAATTGGGAAAATGAAAAATTGAATTACTTCATGTTGATTACACGCTATATATACAACAATGTAAGAAAGATCTAGAAGCTTAGCTAACTAACTACTTGATGCACAATACCCAAGGCCTAACTAACTAACTAACAGAAAGACTAACTAACTAATCACATAACTAATCTGCCAGCTAGTCTAATTACAATTGGATAATAATAATAATATTTATCTCAACACCCCCCCTCAAGTTGGAGGTGGGAAGCTCACAAACAACTTGTGCAAAATATGGGAATGCTTGATATTTGGCAAGGCCTTAGTCAGGACATCTGCTAGCTGATCTTCAGTTGGAATGTGATGAAGTGCAATGAGACCTCCTTGCAGTTTATCTCTAACAAAGTGGCAATCCACTTCTATGTGCTTTGTTCTCTCATGGAACACAGGGTTCCTGGCTATGTGAATGGCTGCCTGACTATCACAAAACACAGCTATAGGCAAGGTACATGTCATGTTCAGCTCTGTCAACAACCTTTCCAGCCATACTATTTCTCCTACCACCTTTCTAATTGCTCTGTATTCTGCCTCTGTTGAGGACAGAGATATGGTTGTTTGCTTCTTGGACTTCCAGCTAATAGGACTATCTCCCATCAACACTACATAACCATTTACTGACTCTCTTGTATCAGGGCATGAAGCCCAATCTGAATCACAATATGCAGTTATTGAGCAGTCTGTGTTGTTGGACAAATATATTCCCAAGCAAGGATCATTTTTGAGGTATCTTAGAATATGGTATGCAGCCTTGAGGTGTGGTTCTCTGGGATTCTGAAGGAATTGACTAAGATGTTGGACACTGAATGCTATGTCCATTCTTGTGTTAGTCAAAAAATTCAGTTTGCCTACCAACTTTCTGTAGTGTGTAGGATCCTTCAACAATAGGCCTTCACTTGCTTTGAGCTTGACTGTAGATTCAAGAGGTGATGTCACTGGTGTGTAGCTTGAACATTCAAATTCTTTCAGCAAATCTGAGGTGAACTTTCTTTGAGAAATTAAGACTCCACAATCCTTATATGATATTTCCAAACCAAGAAAGTATTGAAGTCTTCCTAAGTTTTTTATCTTGAATTTATCATGAAGGTAACCTTTCAGAGAAGTGATTTCTTCAACATCAGTACATGTCAAGACAATATCATCAACATAAACAGCAACAAAAACCAAAGAACTCCCAATCTTTCTGTAGAATAGAGAGTAATCACTCTCTGAATGAGAATAGCCCCTTGAACACAAGACTTGGGCCAGCTTGTCATACCATTGTCTGCTTGCTTTTTTCAGTCCATACAAGGATTTCTTAAGTTTGCAAACCAACCCTGTGTCATCTATCATGAGGCCTGGAGGTGTGTCCATGTATACTTCTTCACACAAGTCTCCATGAAGGAAAGCATTGTTCACATCTAGCTGGTATAAATTCCACCTCTTTTTAACAGCCATGTTGATTAAAATTCTGATTGTAGTCATCTTAACTATCGGAGAGAAAGTTTCATTATAGTCAATGCCAGCCTGTTGAGTATAACCTTTCATAACAAGTCTAGTTTTCAGCCTTTCTACTGTACCATCAGCCTTATGTTTGATCTTGTAAACTCACCTGCATCCAATTGCCTTCTTCCTTATGGGTAGTTTAACAAGATCCCAAGTATTATTAGCATACAATGCTTCAAATTCTGATGTCATTGCTGCTTACCAAGCAGGATCAAGTGATGCCTCCTCATATGAACATGGTTCAGTGTCATGAAGAAAACCTTTAACTATATGTTTATTATCTTGATTGAAACTTGTGAGGGACAAATGGGATGAAGGAAAGACAAGATTAGAAGATGGGGTTGGTGATTGATGTTGTAAGGAAGGTAATGTGTAAGTGTATTCTTTCAGGTAAGTAGGAATGTTGTGTGGTCTAATGGATCTCCTGAGGTTTACAGGTTGGACTGGAGGTTGAGTGATGGTGTCTGATGGGGAACAATTGTTTGGAATTTGGTTATGTGTTGGTGGTGAAGCCGGAGCCAATGAGTGGTCAGTGTCTAATGCTGCCTATGTATATGTGGTGGAAAATAAAAAATGCACAAGGCTGAACTCGACAAGAGACTCATTCAGTTCCTAATAGGTCTAAATGAAGTGTATACCATTGTGAGGGGTAGCATTTTGATGATGAATCATTTACCTACTATGGCTCAAACTTTTTCTATTCTTGTCCAGGAAGAAAATAGAGGGAAGTCAAACCTCACAGCAAATTCAACCTGGACTCAGCTTCTTTTCATGTAAATGGAGCTACTAGTTCTAGTTTTAGGACTAACTATACTCTCTATAGGAACACTGTGAGCACCAGCAGGCCTCCAAACAAGTCTAATTTGTTCTGTGACTATTGTAAAAAGACTGGTCACATCAAAGACAAGTGTTACAAGCTCCATGGTTTCCCTCCGGATTTCAAGTTCACAAAGGGCAAGAATGCAGGCACAGCAGCCATTGCTAATGGTTTCTCAAAGGAACTAATGGGAGATATTTGTGAGAAGACACCTGAGACAGGCAAAGGAAAAGGGAAAATGCATGAACAGTCAGGCCAAATTCTAACTAATCGGCAATTCATTCAACTGGTAAACTTGTTGGAGCATAAGCAAATCCAAGCAGGAAACAACACCAGTAACCCTGCACATGAGAATCCCAATGGTGGAGCTGTTAACTTTGTAGGTATCCTAGCTTGTTATTCTTCAATTTCTGATATTGGTAATTTGTCATGTAAATGCCTGAAACTTAATGTTGACTCTTGGTATCAGAGCCATAAGGCTTTCTTCATCTTCCGCGATCGTTTCTTTTCTCTCTTTTCAAATTCATCTGTATTTTCTTTTCGTTTCATCTCAGACATATCATGGAGTCGACTGGTACTCAGGAATGGACTTCTACTGGAAATCAGTTACCAGCTTATGCTCTTCAAGATCTAACCAGTACATTTTACGTTCATCCTTCTGAAAGTGCAGGATCCTCAATTGTTCCAGTCCTTTTTGATAGATCTGGATATGAAGGAGAGCTGTTCTTCGAGGATTATCTGTGAAGAACAAAACTGGTTTCATAAATGGCAAAATACAGAAACCAAGTGTAGATTCACCCAATTTTGCTCAATGGGAAAGATGTGATGATATGGTGACTTCTTGGATCTTAAATTCTCTGTCCAAAGACCTCAGAGATATCCTGCAGTACGTTGATAATGCCAGGGAACTTTGGGATGAATTGGAAGATAGGTATGATCAAACCAATGGGGCAAAACTGTATCAGCTTCAACGAGAAATCAATGATCTCAGTCAGGGCAATTTAGATATCACTGGATATTACACCAAGATCAGGAAACTGTGGGAAGAACTCAACACTTTGGACACTAATTCACAATGCTCTGATACCATATTGAAACAAACAAAGCTGGAGAAGATCATTCCTTCATTGATGAACATGGAAAGCTGAGATTCGAGATGAGAGAAAAAGGAGCAAACTGTGTGAATTGGGAAAATGAAAAACTGAATTACTTTATGTTGATTACACGCTATATATACAACAATGTGAGAAAGATCTAGAAGCTTAGCTAACTAACTACTTGATGCACAATACCCAAGGCCTAACTAACTAACAGAAAGACTAACTAACTAATCACATAACTAATCTGCCAGCTAGTCTAATTACAATTGGATAATAATAATAATATTTATCTCAACATATCTGCCTTGTTACCATGCTCGATGTTCAGTTCAATACCCTCTTTGAATCAGTGAAGGTGATGTAAGGAAGTCATTATATAGTATTGTCTCTTCCATTTGCAGTATACTATCACCACTGCAGGAGGAGATGAAATCGGACTCCACGGCTTCCGAGATTTCAGATGCTACAACTATCATCTCTGTGTGAGAGTCAGCTTACAATGATAGTAACACCGGAGGTGGTTGATATCGTGAAATCACATCAGGACTCACAACTTCCTGTTCTTGACATGGTGTTTGGCCTCAAGGTGTTCTATGTCAAGCTCCTTAAAAATTAATATTAATAGTATTTTACTTCCACTTTTTGTAATATGGAACCACCTATTAATGGTAGCCAGATTTTGTGTCCCCCCGGCTTCAATGCCACTACGTATAAATAGACAGTGTTAATGTAAAACTATTACGAAATGCTACCTTGTAGTATTATGGATGATATTATATAAATTCAATAAGAACAAATGGTACTAACTCCACAATTTATTGCCTTCCTTTTTACCTTTGACAATTTCCACAGGGACTATAGCATGGAAAAATGTACAATTTCCACACACAAAAAAAGAAGGTAAGTCTGTTTGAACCTTTTGAGCTTTTTGATCCATTTACACTTGTCCACAAACTTAAATTTTGACTATATTTAGAGGTGGAAAATAAACGGGTGATCTAAATTTTAAAATAGATCACGTTAATTTGAATTTGAACACGTTAAAATAAATTGATATGAATAAATAGGCGTTTGAAAATTAAAATAAATTGACATGAATAGTACCGAGTTGATTTCTTTCCTTTTTAAGGTAAGTGGACCTTTTTAACCTTTTGTTAAGTATATTGAACCTTGTATGTCTTGTTGTATAATTGGGAGTAATAAGGAATGGTGAACGTCTTCTTATATTATACTTGTTATTAAACGTTGCCTGAATATTTGTAATGATCATGTGTGGAAAAATGAATTGGTAGATATAATATTGTGTGATGTGTCACGAGTAACTTGAATGATTATCTTGACTCACTTTTGATGATGTGCCATAATTGTGTATGTGGATTGGTTATTGATGTGGAATTTATTATCTTCTCATTATACATGTGAGCATGCTTATTTGCATTGAATCTGAAACACTATTGTGAGATTTGAATTCGTGATATGTTGATGGAAAATGATTCCGGCGATTGATGTTTATGCTTATGGAAAATGATTCCGGCGATTGATGTTTATGCCGATGGAAAATGGTTTCGACGATTTATGATATTTATACCGATGAAAAATGAATTCAATGGATGCATGGACTAATATGTCCCTTATGGGTCCTCAGCTTCTAGTTAGCAGTTGTGTAGTGAATGCATGGACATATAGGTCCTCTATGTGTCCCGGGATACTAGTCAGTGAGTGTGAATCAACAGAACAGACATGCTTCATTCTATATGACATTGCATTGCATTGTAAGTTGTGTAGTGAATGCATGGACATATAGGTCCTCTATGTGTCCCGGGATACTAGTCAGTGAGTGTGAATCAACAGAACAGACATGCTTCATTCTATATGACATTGCATTGCACTGTTTTCACACCTCATTGTCATTCTTGTCTTTTATGAGTGAGTTGTTATGTTTTCGTGGCTATCTAGATCTGACAGGTTGTGGTGATATTATGGAGACTCTGATATGTGAATAACGGTGTATTACATGTAACGTGTTGCTCTATTACTTGTGAAACTGTTAGGATGAGCTGCTTCTAAATTCTATGGAGATTGTAGTTTAAGGAGGTTCAGAAGGTGTGACGGGGTGCTTGTGTTCGATATCACTTTACTTAGGGTTACCTAGGAATGCTTGTTGAGTACCGTTATTGTTTGGTACTTACTCCCTTGCTTTCCACACTTGTGTAGGTTACGATTGGATCATCTTGATCATCCTTTCGCATCTTCATTCGAGACTTGCCTTTGGAGTTCGTGATCATCTCAACACTCATCACATACTCTTGATTATGTTTTTCTACTATCCCATTATTGTAGACTTGTACTTCTTTTGAATATGTTGTATTATTTAGAGGCTTGTACACGTGACACTAGGTTTTGGGGGAAAGTTGTGTTATATTAAGGGTTTTGCATTATTATGTTACGTTTGGTTCTTGATTTCTTTCTTACTTCTGTTATTGCCCTTGCCAAGGGTTGTTTAAGTTGGCCCGTATTGGTGGGATAAGGCAGGTGTCATCACACTTGACTTTTGGATCGTGAAAAAGATGAATTCAAACCATCCCCTAAGGGCACAAATACCTTCTTTAAGGACTAGGAATTGAACGTAGGAAATCGAAATGCTCACCTTTAAGAAGATTCATGGTGTTCTTAAGGAAGAACAAGCAAAAAGAGTACATTTGATCTTAATTGGAAAGTGTTAAACCATTGGGGTGTAAAAAGGTGGTTTTGTAAAACCGGAGTTAAAAAAAAATGGTCTGGATGAGCCTTTTCTTTAACAACAATGACATAGATTAGCCAAACTTTTAACTGATGCATAAATAAGTCTTTTTCTGAAAGTTTGATGACATATTTGAGCATTTTCCCTTTAATAAAAGACAAACAGTTCAATTAACATTTGTAAGGACCTTCATGTTTATAATATTGTATAAAATAATATAGATATAAATAGATAGATTATTTATATTTATCACATTATAGGAACTTTTTTGGTAATTTTTGTTCAACTAGGATTTGATTTTTAAATATTATTTATACAAATTTTAATTTTCTTTTGATATTGATTAAGGATTCACCAGCAGTCCACAAACTTAAAAGCTTCATCAAATAATAAAATCACAACTTTTTGAACCTAATGTAATACACCACAACTTTTTGAACCTTTCGAGACTTTCCTATTATCCCGATTTGTAGGTCCCAATCAAAAGTATGTGTGAAATTTGAGACTAAATTCAATAAAGAACCAATAGTCCAACACATGGAAATTTCTTTGACTCTCTTTTTCCCTTTGGCAATTTCCACAGTGACTATAGCATGGAAAAATCTACTACACATGTTATGTATTTCCACAAAAAAAACGCGGAATCTATTTGAACCTCTTGACCTTTTTAATCCACTTGCACTTGTCTACACATTAAACTTTTGATTTTTTTAGAGGTGTCCAATAAACGAGTTATCTAAATTTAAAAATAAATCATGTTAATTCGAAATTTGATCAAATTAAAATAAATTAATATAAGCAAATGAATTATTGATCCATTCTAAAAATATTTAAATTAAAATACATTAAATGTGGGTCGTAATTCAAATAGTTGACAGAACTTATAAATGAGAGGGTCTAATTTTGTTTTGTTAGAAGTAAAATGTAATTTATTGCCATGACATACAATTTCGTTATAACTTTTTCCTTTGTTGAGTTAGCTATTAATAAGTATTATAAATTTTCACATTTTAGGAACTTTTTGTGGTTTACTTTTATTTAACTCAATATGATTTTAATATTATATATATGAATTTTAACTTCTTTTAATATTAATAAGGAATTCACATTGCAATGAAACGTCTTTAAAAGCTAGTAACTTTGTATAAGTTCCGATGAATAACAAAATTATAACATTTTGAACCTTAATGTCATTACACCATAACCTTTTGAACCTTTCAAGATTTCTCTAATTTCTTTGGCTCCCTCCTTTTCTTGATTCATGGTCCCAATCGAAATGTAATGATAATTCAAATATTATTTATTCCTATGTTTAATAATATTTGTCTACTATTTCCTTCATTTCAAATTAATTGAAATATTGACGTGTTTCACATCCTTTAAGAAAAGAAGGGTAAGAGATAAATTAGACATAATTTCTCATTTTTACCCTTATTAATTATTGTCAAATTTATGATTAAAATAACTAAACATTAATTATAATACTAATTTCAATACTAACTAATGAAGGGTAAAATTGGAAAATATTCTAAAAGTAGTATTGAAGATTGAACAATTAAACTAGTTTGAAAATTGAAAAATGTCTCAACAATTCAATTAATTTGAAATGAAGGGAGTGTTGACTTTACACACTTTTTAAGAAACTATAAATAGAAGTGTAATTTTACTAATCACCTTTTGAATATAATAAATACAATGTCTTGAAAAATATTATAGAGAATTGATTATAATTAATAATAAGGGTAAAATAGGAACTAAGTATAAAATTACCTATTGATTTTATAAAGTAGACAAGTATTGTTGGACATTCCAAAATAGTATAGTGAATAACTATTATTGGACAAATGGAGTAATCAGTGGCAAGTATTGTTGGACATTTCAAAACATTTTTTTTTTTGGCCTCTTTTCTGTAAATTCAATAAGAAATCAAATAGTACTAGGATACTTTGCCTTTTGACAATTTCTACATTGGGTACAAGGTGGAGGTTGTTGAACCTCTTGAGCTTCTTGATCCATTTGCACCCGTGGCAGAAGTTTCCTTATAAATGGTATTTCAATAAGTACTATTTAATTAGTGTGATATAAATGGAGAATTATTGATGATTTTATATATTGAATATAAATAGTAGTAACTCGACGACTTTTGGACAGTTGATCCACAACTTTGCCTGCAGATCAGCGACGGGGCAGAGGCAGTGAAATTCAATTGTATAGTATGGAGCATCAACCTTCAGAGGTATGTGACCTAATGCCTTGTAAACTGGACTGGTGTCAACTGAAGTTAAATGGCTGGGTATTTTGGAGCATAAAACACAACGACGAGTTGGAATACCAGCGATCCATTAACTCCATCTTTTGTGAGTGAGTGAGTCTTTTGTGAATATTTTCCAATTTTTGTTTAGCACTTACTAATCTTTTTGATAACTCCAGCCTATTCTGTTGTTTCCTCCATCTTTCCAACTGAGAAATGGAGGATCCAATCTGTTATGGAGAAAATCATGTGGAATCCAAATATTTCTCTGTTTCAATTCTGGGCACCCATCAAGGTCAATGGATCCACTTTCCTGTCCACTGCGGATCAACCATTTGCTTTCTATAACCAACTTGATAAGAGGCTCTCTTCATACAGGAAGCTCTGTTTAGATACTATGATTCCCATGGACAACAAGGAAATTCCATTTGGTCCCCCTGGACGAGTTTTCTCAAGATACTTGCCAGAATATAACCCCAACGTCCTAAGCTACTCCTCTGCAGAGTTTCCACTGCTTCAAACTGCAATTCCCTTGGGAATTCATTCTTATTATGCATTTCCAGTTTCCAACCTCCATGATGGCCAGTGCCTTGGTGTATTCGAGATTGTATCTACACTACCATATCTCCCTCTTCACACCCTTATTAAGGTATTTGCTCAACGACATTGCTTATTCACTTTTGTTTGAACAATTCCATAATCCTTGTTTAATTTTCCATCATAGTGGTTGAATTTCGAATCAGTTGGCTTGTACATTCCTAACTCATTGGGCATGCCTTTTGGACCTTCAAAGGTAAGGTGTTGCTGCCTTTTTTTATTTTGGCGAAACTAAACAAAATAAATGAAAGTAAAAAAAAAAAAGAGATCAGTCCCACTAATGTCATAGCTTATCTTATCATTTTTATAGCGGCTGGATGATGAAAGACTTGGCGATATAAAGGCCGGGTTATATGAGATCCTTGAAAGACATAGTTTACCCTTTGCTCAAATTTGGATTCCTTTTTCTCTACCTTCCTCTTTGAAAGTCTTGTATCGTGTTGGTGGCTCAATCAATGAACGTGCACAATCAATGTATTATGAGTTTGAATATTCTTCTGAGGTCTGTTTTATTAAGAGTGGCGAGGCATTGGTTGGGAGGGCATTTGCATCCCAAGGTTCATGCTTTTGCAAAGATGTTACTCTATTAAGCATCAATGAGTACCCTGTGTTGCCTACTGCACGAAAAGCTAGATTCACTCACAGTTTTGCAATTTGTTTGCAAAGTAAATGCGCCAACAATTTTGTATGCGTAGTTGAGTACTTTCTGCCAAGCAACGAAATGGCTGTTAGAGATACAAAGACTTTCTTAAACATGCTTTTAACCACAATGAAAGAACTACTTCCAGGTTTCATAGTTGCTTCTGGAAATGAACTAGGGCAGAGGATGCTCGTTGAAGTTGTTAAAGTTTCCCCGAATGATGAACTTGACTCCTTTGAAATTGGCCAAACTCTGCCGAGTGTTCAATCACTTCAGGATGGAGGAGAAACAATAGCAATTGATTCTTTCTATCAAGAGTCAGATTTTATGAAGAAGCTTGTTGATGCTCTTGCACTAGTGATTTCTTCTTGTTCATTAGACAAGTGTGACTCACTCAACTGTGAAGGGACAGTGGAAGTTGATCCGTCACTGCCTCATCCAATAGAGGAAGCTGTGACAAACAGAGGAACGGTTAACGTGGATGTAGCACATGATGACCACATTGAGGATACAAGTGAAATGATGCAACTTGATTCACACTTTGAGCAACCAAATTTAGAAATTAATTCTGTAGGCGCAAGGAGTAATGACACAGTGGAGCATAGGGATTTTAGTTATGCAAGACAATCGGTTGAAGCTGAAGCTATAAACAGAGAAAACAACTTTGTCAGTGGAGCAATGACTAACAACGAGAAAATCCATTCACAGAAGAACAACGAATTACGAAGGATAGAAAAAGATCATGGGATTACTCGCGAGACTTTGGAGCAGCAATATGGCACGCTTCTTAAAGATGCTGCCAAAAATCTAGGTGGTAAGTTCACTAACTTTAGCGCATTTGAGATTCGTAATTCTTTTTGTGTTATTATATATGATGTACGCTCATATGCCTTTAACCGGAATGATTTATGCATAGGTTCACTGAAATCCCTTTTGTGGACTTCTTTTATTGCAGTTAGTCGAGCAACACTAAAACGGATATGTAGAGTATATGAAATCACTAGATGGCCAAATCATAAGACTAGAAAGGTTAATGTCCATGTTAGCCATGGCGTATCTTTTCAAGGTGCTGAACCATATGTGGGCGATCAACAATGTCCTGCTCTTTCCCAAGAAAAAGGCATCAAATATTTGGGTAACAAAAGATCTCCTGCAACAGGAGTATCTCGTGATGGTGTGATGACTTTAAAGGTTACATATAGAGCTGATATGATAAAATTTCAACTCTCCCTTTTATCAACGAGGGTAGAATTGGAGGGGGAAGTGGAAAAGAGGTTTAAGATATCAAGGTTTTCAATAAAGTATCAAGATGAAGATGACGATTGGATTTTGATAACTTCTGATTCAGATTTGAGGGACGGGATGAATTCACTTAGATTGTTGGGAAGGAATACAATGAGATTAGAGGTTAACCCAGAATCTGACACATGACGGATTTTCCATATGTTTTGTTATGGTTCATCTTCATTGCAGTTTTCTTTCTTGCTTTCTCTATCTCCTTTGCTTTTTCCTTTTTAAGTTAATTAATTATTTTGGCTTTGTTATCTTTTTCTCCATTAATGACTTGCTAATGTTAATTAATTCCATATATTTATTGCAAAAGTATGATCAAGTACAATTCTAATTTCAATTTCAACTTTTTAAATAAAATATGTATATTTTTTTCATAACCAAATAACTGACTCAGATTGTATTTTTCCAGACTTGTGGTTGTAGACAAACAAAAAAAAGTGAAAGGAATGATTCATTCAGTTCACCAATTAACATTCTGACGTATTCTATAAAAAAATGTTCGTGCCCAAAATTGCTCTTGTTTCCTCCTTTATCATTATATAAATTTAAAATTATCATGTCATATTGCGTAGAAAGTTTTGTAAGCCACATAATTTTTATAATTAATTTCAAGTTTAAGGTATTACTATATGACATAAAAATAATTTATTTTGTCATGCTTAATTTATTTTTAGTGAGGAATGTAGTTGAGTGATTTTTAAAGATAATAACCTAAAGTTGAATGAATTTTTTGATACAAAATAAAGTTCAATAACTTTGCTAGATAAATTCCCATAATTCAACGATCTTTTAAGACATTAACTCACAATTATTTTTCTCGATATTTTAGAAAGGAGAGATCTTTTAAACCGATTAGAAGAAAATTAGGGAATCATATTCTGCAAGTTACAAAATATTATATTTATGGAAAGAATATTAGTTAATTAAAGGGAAATACGTTAGGATTTTTTTTTTTAAAAAAACGTTTTCCATTTTTATTTTAAAATTTATTTATTAATTTGTTAAGTATTGATATAAATTTAATGTTATATATACCGAAAACCAGAAAGTCTTGTTAGTACTAGTAATAAAAAATCTTTTATCTGTCATTTTGTGATGATCCATTATTCTCTTTATTTACATCCCCTCTTTTGTGAGACCACAATTTAGCAAATCCTCTAATTAGTAACGAAGAACAAAATCATAATCTTTTGAACCTTAAGGTCATACACCACAACATTTTGAACCTTTCAAGATTTTCATGTTTCATTTCCCCGATTCATGGGGTCCCAATCAAAACTATGTGTAATGGTGATGTGACAATATTTAATACCCATTTCAATTTAATGTAAAAATAATTAACTGAATGCACAAATTTAACAGGTTAATTAAGATATACTTTTTTTTTGTTCAACAATAATTATCCGCTATTAACTTAACACATACTTTAAGAAACAATAAATAATATGGGCAATATTACTATATTATTCTTTGAATATATTAAATTTAATGTTTTGAAAAATGTATTAGACATTGAATAGCAATGATAAAATAGACATAAAAGAGTAAAATATCTCTTGATTTTCCAAACTAAACAAGTAGTATTATTGGATAAGTATTTTTAGTATAGTAAATAAGTAAAAATGAACGGAGATAGCATGTGGTGTTTAAACGAGTTGAATTATTATAAATTGTACAAAACTTGGACAGAAGTGAATTTTCTTATTTGAAAAGAGTGTCACTGTCATATAAATCAAGAATTATGGATGATTTATAAATTCAATAAAGAACAAATAGTACTAACTTAACTCCACAATTTTTTGCCTTTATTTTTCCTTTGACAATTTCCATAGTTTAGTGGGAAAATGTACCATTTCCACAAAAATGCGGAGTCTCTTTGAACCTCTTGAGCTTTTTTATCCACTTGCACCCATCAATAAACTAAAATTTTGATTTTTTTTTAAAAAAGAGATGATGATTTGAGCCTGTCATAATCATCCACTTGAACCCGACAAAATTTATTTAAATTAAAATATATGTCATAATCCAAATAATTGAGCAGAACTTACAAAATTTGGGGGTCTAATTTTGTTGACTTATATGTACTACTAATTTTTAAATTTATTGCTATGACATACAATTCCGTAATAATTTCTGCCTTTGATGAGTTAGTTATTTAAGATGATTATTTATCATATTTTAGGAACTTCTTTGGTTATATGATTTTTAATATTATTTTTTTAAAAAATATTGATAAGGAATTTACGTGTAATGCAGATAAATCAAGGGTATAATGGGCAAAATATGGTAATTTATATATAAATTTTATAAAATGACATATATTGTGGTCTAGCTATTTTTAGAAATAGGTGACTTATAATATGGGACGGAGGGAGTAATAATTAAGGATACTTTAAATTACAAATGTTTATTAAATGAGCAGGAGAGACCACCAATTTATAGGGCAAAACTAAAAAGGGAAAATTGTATATAATAGCAAACTATTAATTCAAATTAAATGCTATAAATATAGTTTGATTTAATTGTACCTCATAGCAAACTGTTGCTATTTCACTTCTCTCCTGGTGAATCTCGCTCGCCACTCTTGTTCTCTCCCTCGCCTCTCTCGTTTTTTATACAAACGCAAGTGTATAAAGTGTGTTTGTGTTTGTATAAAGCGAGAGGAAATTGTATATATACATATATTTTTGTTCCCCTCTCTCCCCTCTCCCAGATCTTGCTCGCTCACTCGCCTCTCTCACTTTATACAATTGATCTTTTTGTATATGTATACCAAAACATATTATACAACTGAATTCTTTTGTATATGTATAGCGAAATATACATAGTTATGTTTGCTATGGAGCACAATTATGCAAACTTTGCTATAGCATACAAATATGAATTTTGTGTTTGCTATATGTGAAAGTTGCTCAATCTAAAATAGTCAGGCTCCAATACGGATACAGGACCATAAATGAAAAAATAACTTATATGTGGTATTTAAATAAATTGAGTTATTAAAAAGTACAAAGTGTTTCACTATCATATAAATCTATAAATTGAGAATTATGGATGATTTTAAATTCTATATAAAGAGATAAAGAACAAATATTATGCCTTCCTTTTTTCCTTTGGCATTTCCACAAAAACACGAAATCTCTTTGACTTCTTGAACTTTTTGATTCACTTGCTTCACACAGATCTTACTTCTTCTTTTTTCAACTTGAAAAGGAAATAAATATTATTGCACCCGTTCACAACCTAAAATTTTGATCTTATTTTGAAAGTGTCAAATAGACATGTGTTCTGTATTTAAATAGATCAAGTTAATTTTGAGTTTGAACAAAATAAAATAGACTAATATAAATGAATGAATTATTGATTCCTCCAAAAATAAAATAGACTGATATAAATGGATGAATTATTGATTCCTCCAAAATTTATTTAAATTAAAATAGAATAAAATATAAATCATAATCCAATTAATCGGGGAGAACTTATAAATGAGGGGTCTAATTTTGTTTTGCTATAAGTAAAATAATGCAAACAATTTTATTTTATTTTAAAAAGGAAGAGGAAGCAAGTGGCCGTACTAAGGTGTTTAACCATGAAAATTTTATAAAAAGTTTGATAAATTCAATTTTCTTGTAATGTTAAGTTACTAACCATTTAAATTTAAGCGCTGAGTTATAAAATCTTTTTTAAAATTTAAAGACTATGAAGGAAATTTTTCTCCATCCTATATTAAATGAATATTTGAGGCTTTTTTCATAGTACTAAATTTATGATTTTGTTTAGAGGAGTAAATGAACAAGTTGATATGAATTTAACTTAATTTGAATTTGAATAAAAATGATTGGGCAAAATTTGTCGAAAGTTTGATCATGTTGAAATTTGAAATGGTAATTTTTGTTTTTAAAATGGAAAAATAATATTTGAAAATTGGCAATTTTCAAGTTAGAGTTATTTTTGCCCCCCCCCCCCCCCCCCCATAATTTGGAGTAAAAATAACTTTTTGTTGTTATGATGTTTCGGCATATCTCATAGTGAAGTTTGAAAATAAAAACTACAAGTAAAAAAGGATATTTGAAAAATTGGATCAGTGCCTAAATACAAATTGAAGTTGTTTATTATTATTATTATTTATGAGTAATTTGAATTGAAAAAAGTGAAAACATATTTTTGTTGTTTTCCAAGGTTTTAAAAATTGTGATTCCGAATTTCAGGAGCATATGAATTCCGATATATTTAGCCATAAATATATTTGGAAAAAATCTTGGCAGCTAGCGTTTGGCCATATAATTTGTTATTTTATGCAAATATATTTGACAAACATCCAAGTTTCCAAGTTCTAGATAAAACAAGAATTTGGGCCAAATTCTAGTGTTTGGAAATTTTTTAAAATTACCTAAAACTTTTTATTTTATAAAAAACATCCATTATCTATTAATCCCAATTAATATATATCTACAACCATCTCCATTAAAAAGAACAACTTATTTTTAAGGCATAATACATAACCATGCCCCTTAACTTGGCTTCAGCGAACAACTATGCCCTCCAACTTTGAATGTGCACAAGTAGCCACTTAAACTTGTATAAAATAGAACAAGTAGACACAAGTATCCTGCATGTCACAATACACATATGACGCCATGTAGGACACAAAATTGCCATGTAGGGTGCCATGTAGGACAAATGTGTCCATTTACTCAATTTCATACAAGTTAAGTGCCAATTGTGCACACCCAAATTTAAAGGACATAGTTGTCAACTAACGTCAAGTTAAGAGTCATTGTTATGCATTATGCCTATTTTTAATGGGCTATAATTAATCTTGGATAAGTGACACATGTGAGTATGCAATTATATAGGAAAAATTACCTAACTACACATCAATTTGTATATCAAATTTTTTGAATTAAGTGACCTTTGATAATAGATATTGTATCAAATTTTAAAAATCTATCCTAAAATGAAAAAGTTCCAGTTTCACTTATAAAATTTTAAATTTTTTCCGGGTAGAAATGCATGTCCAAATAAAAATTTCAAGTTTTAAAAATCACAATTTTAAAAACTCATATTTTTAAGTTTCAAACTTCAAAATCTACGACAAATCAAAACTCAATTCCATGATATGTTTTAAACTTTCACTATAGTTCGTTAAGGACTTGCTCATTTGCAAGATTTCCAAAGGGTGTATTTCTGAGAAAATTAATAATGGAAAGTGATTCAACAATTTTTTATTATTAACCTTTAAGGCAGAAAGTTAGGGAATCCTCCAAAATTCCTTATAAATCCTAACTCCCCAAAATAATGTTTATCCTTTCCTTATTTCACTCTCTATATGTATCTCGTTTATTTTGATTCTTAAATTAATCTTTATTAGTGTTATTACTGATTCGATACATCACTGCTACAATCGTTTTTTGTTCTATGCATATGATACTTAATTTATCTAGTTTATTTGATAAAGCACTGTGTATCAAATTAAGTATCTCGATACATAAATACGTAAAACTTGATAATCTTATTGTATCAAATACATCATTATCAATTACAAAATGATACATTTATAGATACACTTTATTTAACTTACATACACCCTTCTTTCACAACCTTATTGTATCAGATACATGAATATCAACTATAAAATAATACATTATATAAAAAATGTATCGTATCAACTTGAAATCTTCCACAATTGCATATTTATATTTCAAGACAAACAATGTATCTTCTTCCAAAATCATAGACTGAATAAAGATGCTCAGATGATGCAACAAGTTGTTAACATTAAAGAAATTAGTGATACATTACCATAAAACAGTTATTTCTATGGATCAATCACAAACAATCAAACAACTAACTTATACTTAGTATCAGGTACAAAATATAACTATAATTTGATGCATACCCTCATTCTTGAACATTTTGATGCTTTTACAGCATATTACATGTACAATATATCATCTATAAAGTATAGTATTTCACAAACACAACAAGATACAAAAATAGTAATGTATCATGCTAAATATTTGATCATGATACAATAATCTAAATTTATACTACATGTATCACACAATAATCTATTGATCTCTAAGCAAACACTTTAAATGCAAAATTACTTATTTAATGTATCTAATTAATAGGAGTATAGTACTTATCAATTTATCCAAGATACATAAATACTAATGTATCACGATTGTATAGTCATCTTGAAAACACAAACAGAAAATCAAATTAACAACACAATATATGTAATTTCAAATCTCTGATTGTCAGATCAATTTTACTATGAAATTAAAGCTCTGATCTATTTTATGCATTGCCAATCGAGGCTCATATTTTTTCCAGATTCTTGAATGTCAGATCTTTTTTTCCTTCAGATTCTTCCTTGTCTCGGCAAAATCAAAATATTCTTGATGTATCTTCTCAATTTTTTTTTGATTGAATCAAAATTGAAAGGATCTTCGACGAATTGGGAGAAAATTTTGAAATCCATCATTTATGTATCGTTCATAACTCACCTTGTTTTCCCAGATTCTTCAATGTATTCATCATGTATCAGCTATTGTTTTTGACTTCTTTAATCTACTACGATTTGGGTACGAATTGAAAGAAGAACATTTGAATTGTTTGAAGCTAGACGATTTTGGAATAGAATTGCGAGAAGAAAATTTGAATTTTGAATTAAAGGTGGGTGGATTTGGAAGAGAACTAAAAGAAGAAAATTTAAATTTTGATTTGATTGAATCTTTTAAGATTTGGGAGAGATTGAATATACTAGATTAGCGTAATTTGGGGAACTCACAATCAATTTTATATTCTCTTTCCTTTAACAGTGTAGCTGAATTTGTTTTAATGTATCTAATTTAATGTATCCGGCTTGTTTGCTATGTATCCGGATAACATTGATTTTGAGGGATTTTTGTAAATTGAAAAAGAGTTGGGATAGAATGTAATTTAGGTCTTTACACTATGGGATTTATGTAAGTTATACATTATTATACTACTCTTGCAAGCTGATTGTCATCAATTATGTTCTAAAGTTATCCTTAAACGAAACATTTCATTATAAAGTAGTACTAATACAATCTTATATCAAATGCCAAAATCCTTAAAAAAAAAAAAAGAGAAACAATAGTGTAGACAAAATCAAAAGCAAGATGCCATAATACAAGGAGGAGAGGAAAGGGACAAAAGGCAGCGAAATTCTATGGAGTATCATCTTCGGCAAGTTTTAGAGATATGTGGCCTAATGTCTAGTCAACTGGAGTGGTGTGAAGTGAAGTGCAATGCCTCCGCATTTTGGAGCATAAAACAAGAGGATGAGTTGGAGTACCAACGAACGATCTCCCCTTTCATCTGTGAGTTAAGAGTTGTGAATATCAAAACATGAGTGTTTTGTTTATTATATTCTCAATCTTATCTTGTTGATACAGCTGCTCCTGCTTCTCTCGATTTCAGCTTTCTAATGCTGAAATTGAGGATCAAATCTGTTATTGAGAAAATGTCGAGTCCGCATATTTGTCTGGTTCAATTCTGGGCACCCATCAAGGTCAACGGATCCACTTTCCTGTCCACTGCGGATCAAATATGTGCTTTCAATAAGAGTCTCTCTTCATACAGGAGGCTCTGTATCGATACTTTGATTCCAATTGACGACTACATGGAAGGTCTACTTGGCCCCCTTGGACGAGTTTTCAGAAGATGCTTGCCAGAATATAATCCCGACGTCCAGAGTTACTCTGCTGCAGAGTTTCCACTGCTCGAAACTGCAATAAGCTTGGGAATTCATTCTTATTATGCATTTCCAGTGTTCAACCTCCATGATCAGCGCTACCTTGGTGTATTTAATTGGAAGGGCAAGTGGAAAAGAGGCTTACGATATCACTTGAAAGGTTTTCAATAAAGTATGAAGATGAAGATGAAGATTGGATTTTGATAAGTACTGATTCAGATTTGAGGGATGGGATGCATTCACTTAGATTGTTGGGAAGGAATACTATGAGATTACTAGTTACCCCAGAAGCTGACACATGAAGGATTTTCCAGAAGTTTTGTTATGGTTCATCTTCATTACAGAACGTTAGTGATGTTATCTTTTGGTGATATGGTGTTTATCTCTTCCCTGAGGTGTTGTGACATGTCTTTGTGCTCAGTGTACCAAGAAAATTAATGCTATTATGAATGTGGAATTGTCAAATCTATATTCCAACTCCACAACTTTTTGCTTTTTTTTTTTTTTTTTTCCTTTGGCAATTTCCACACTAACTACCGCGTGGAAAAATGTAGTACACTTCACTTTATGTATTTCGAACAAAAAAAATACGGAGCCTCTTGAACCTTTTGAGCTTCTTCGGCCACTTGCACCCGCCTATAAATTAGTGGTAAGTGTACCGATGATGAAGTCAGAATTTTATTAAGGGTTGTCAAAAATATAAAATATTAAATACACAAGAAAATCAATAAAATAAATTCTACTAATTAAAGCAAAGGATAGTTACATTATAATTCGACAAGATACATAATAATAAGCGTGTCGTCGTTTTAATTGTTCTAAAAAGGGAAAAAGTTCCAATCAAAGAGTACTATTATGCTACTATAAAAGGTGGAACACACAACCTCAAGTAGGTTTTTGCAACTCCTTAACCACTATATTAAATCTTTAGTTTGTACCAAAATATGTCAATACTTGTATACCCAGTAGTTGAGCCATGACTACTTAGTACGTCACCCGTTAGTAGAGGCTTGACTTTAGCTAGTGGACTCACCTAAGCTTAATATTATGGTCTTTACCTTGGCAAGTAGGACAATCTTTTTTCGGTGTGGGAGTAGTACATTGAATTTCATGTTATAGCTCACATGTTTATGTCGGTTAACGGTAACTCCCACATATGATATGACTATGATTATGACTCCTACTTATGATATGATTTTTTGAATATGGCACTAACCTTGTACTATGGTTATGAACACAACTTATCGGATTATGTCATGTTTTACTTGGGCATGCATTATCATATTTCAAACTTTTCATTTGCTTATGCTTACTCATGCATCTTTCCTCATACTCAGTACATTTCGAGTACTGACCACATACATCTCTTGTTTTATAATATGAGATCCGACGCTCCTCATCCAGCTTGCAGTTAACACAGATTCCAGTCAGCTTTGTCCAGATTTAGTAAGTCCTCATGCTTCGAGGACATGACCACATTATGAGTTTTTTTATGTACTTTCAAACTCTTTTAGTTTTTAGATTATTTTGTGAGCTAGGGCTTGTCCTAGCCACACCTATGTAGTATAGGCTTATGTCAAACTTAGTATGTTTTCCGCATTTATGATTTTGTACTCTGATTTTGGTATCCTTATGAGTTGAGTTTTGAGATGTATATTTCGCTTTGATGTTTCTTTCAGCTATATTGTTATCTTAGTGTCATGCTATGTCAAGTGGTTCGTTTAGAGTCTTTCGAAATTATATTCATCATGTCACGTCTAGGGAGTAGTTTTGGATCATGACATTTATTGCGCTCATATTTTTTATGTGACAAAATATCTTTTTCTAGGAAATACTATAGTAATCCTCGAATAGAAAAAGTATGCACTGGAATCGTTTGATAAGGTGTATAAAAATAGTGCTGAATGTAATGTATTCATAAATGTTGATATTAGTTATGTTAAGATTCTTTTTTATGTATTGTTTAACTTGATGTGTTAAAAATAACATGAATTGCATAATTTCTAAGATGAATTATTTGTTTACAAAAATATCCTCCACAAATATAGTGGAAAGAATGTGAAAAAGATTTTGAGGGATAATTGTATCTTTAATCATGCTAAAGCATGTATTTTAAAACAATTTGCATTGCTAACACCATGAATTTATAAGTATTAGTTATACATACGTCAATAACAAACAAGTGTACCAAATAATGTACTGGTAATAAACAAAAGAATGTTCCGGTTATTATTATGACATCTTTTTTATTATAAAGACCTCGTTCGTATTTTTTTTTTATGATAATGTTATAAATGTCCGAAATTAATCAAGGGTTACTCCTTTCGCTTTGCTCATCTTCCAAATTGTTGGTATATACCGACTGTCTTAACCACTAGTCCACTAAAGCCATCGCTTGGGGCCCCATATTTTTGGGGGCTCCCAATTTTTTAAAAAAAATACTTATACATATTACTTAAAATTATATGTATTTTTAAATTAAAAAAAAAACATGTAAGAAGTATTTAAAAAAAACCAAAGTAACCGTTAATTTTCCCCACTTTTCTAAGGAATGAAACAATTTTTGAAAATAATTTCCTTAATTGGGAAATTGTGTTACCTTATTAATCTTCTAAAAATTTGACCTTATATTATTATTTACCTTATACTCATCTTTTTTATTATTTTTATTCTCAATATTGAACTCTCTCCTAAAAAAATGATTTATTGTTGCTTACAAGTTAAATAAGAACAAAATTTGCTTTTGAGTGTCTTCTTCAAAATCTTAAGAAGTGCAACAAGCAATCATTATATTGAAGGAACACAACACTATTTCAATATTGTTATATCAACTTATCAAATTCGTGAGCCAAGTTTTATTATTCTAACTTTATTTTATAATTTTTCTTGAACTTTTGTTATTGTTGATATTCTTAGTTAGTAAGTATATATATTCTCGTTTTAGTTATTATTAAGAGAAATAATACAAGTAGAAGATAATGATTTAATGGAAATACTTAATCAAATAAAAAGACTCGATTCTTTTCCTAATGCATATATTGCTTATAGATCAATGTTAACAATTCATGTAACTATTGCCTCCGAAAGAAGTTTTTCGAAACTAAAATTGATAAAATCTTATCTAAGATCAACAATGTGAGATTGAATGCATTAGCTATATTATTAATTGAGAAGGAATTACTAAAACAAATCGATTAGAAAACAGTAAATAATGACTTCACATCTAAAAAGGCTAGAAAAATAGATTTTAAATAAATATATACATGATTATTATTATTTTTTTTAAAAAGAATTAAAAAAAAATATTAGGGCCCCTCTTTAAGGTTTGGCTTTAGGCCCCCAATCTTATTGTGTCGGCCCTGATAATATACTTGGAGTTGTATAAAATGCAACATCTCTATTAGATTTTCAAATTGCAAACTTGCTTTTGAAAATCAAATTATATGGGTTGATTCACTAAATAAATGGTTGATATGGGTAAAAAAAAATGATGCGAGTGTAAAATAAAATTACAAAGGGCATTCAAGAATCAAGAGAAGCAAAGCACATGACTCCGAAGCCTAAAAGACCACAAATTTAAAATAATTTTTTTAAATAGGCCACTTAAAAATGAATATCATATCATGATTCCATATCGCATGGCCAAACGGGTCCTTAATCTAAAAATCTGAGAAAGAAAAAGAAAAAAATGTGAATGAAAAAAAAGAAATTTATTTTCTGTATCTGTAAAAATAATAATTGGGACATTTATGATAAATTTTACAAGAAAATGAGTGAAAAATAAAATTAAAAATCAAAATTATAAACTCAAATTATCCGTTGAATAAAAAAATTACGTGTGAGAATAATTAAATATACTCATACATAAATAAAAAAAAAGATTTTTTTTTTTTTTTTTGCTTTCCTTAACCCAAAAGGGTATATTTGGGTAATGTGTATAATGGTAGGAATATAATCACTTCAATAATCAAAGATATATAAACTCTAAATCACAAAATTGAGAAATATATCAAATCCTTGTTCCTAACAACAAATGTCTTTTGATAATTTATTCTTTGGGTGCATAGTGACAAAGTGGTTGTGAGATATATAGAGGACTGAATTGAGGAGCTTTTATGGGTCAATAGGTGGGGAAGGAGCAATCTTGTGCAGTGTGTTTACTATTGTTATGGCTTGAGAGACAAGAAGTAGAGAGTGAGTGATATAGTGACATTATATTATATAAAGTTATAAGGAATAACAAAATTATAATTTTTGAACCTTAATGGCATACTCCACAACCTTTTGAACCTCTCAAGATTTTCCTATTTCCTTTCCATAATTTATTGGTGATGAGTCCCAATTAAAACTGTGTAGTGTTTTATAAAGGCAAACAATATAAATTTCACTAGTTTAGGTCCTAATTATTAATATTCAATGTAGTTTTGACTATTACTTTCTGTAACAGATTTCATTGATTGGATATATGTATCTTAACTCAATAAATACATGTATCCGAGAAATTGACAAAGCATGATCAATGTTTAATTAAGAACTATAACTAAAATGCTTAATTTAAGGAGGAAATCAACCCTTTAACTACTTTTGAGTAAATCTAGTCTAACAACTTCTAAGAAAATTCAAAAAAATAATCTAATCTCTTCCATTTATTTTCGAGCAACAACAAAATGAACAACTTTCCTATCCAGAAATTTGAATTTGTTTCTTTAAATTTGAGATTTTTTTTTATAAAAAAAATCATGTTTAGAGAACAATGCGTAACTCACACTCTAGTTAGTTGTTAATTAAAATATAATCTACATTTGAATGAATTCTGGATGGTAAATTTCATGCATTTGTGTATGTGTATAAATAACATATAATATATTATTTCTACGGAAGTTAAATTTGAAAGAAGTGAATGAAGTTAAAAATAAAATAAAAATGAGAGACAAAAGAGAGTTGATCGGATGGTAAGCACTCCTCACTTCCAACCTTAAGGTTGTGAGTTTGAGTCCCCAAGAAAGCATAATATGTGGGAGCTCATGGGGAGGGGTTAAAAACTTTGAGATGTGATGAGATGAGATAATAGAAAAATTAATCGTTTTTATAATAATAAATGTGTCCCTAACTAATACATTTAAGAACAAAAAATTCTTTTATATATAAAATATAGTCATTAGTAACGAAATTAGATTTTGTTCAACTACGAAATACTTATAACTTTAGAGACAATTGATGTCGTTATTGAATGAAGTAAAATAATTAGTGACGATATAATTTTGTCGGTAGTAATAACCTTTTTAGTGACAAAGCATACTATTAAGTACAAAAAAATATACTTTTTACGACAAATAAATTTTTCACAAATGCTTAAGCATTTGGGGACGATTTTTCTTTTTGTAGTTAATATAATACTTTTAGCGACGAAGCACTAAATTGTCTTTGTATACTTTTAGCGACACACATTTAGTGGCGACTGATTGA